GAACCCAGCAGGATTCATAAACAGTATAGCAACCATGCTGTATTCTGCCTCGGAACTTGACTTAGATAAAGTGGGCTGATGTTTGGAGGACCAAGAAATCAAGTTATCGCCAAGAAATACATGATACCTTGATGATTTAGATCGACGAGTGTCCGGATACCTGCCCCAATCGGCATCCGTATATGAGAGAAGAGAAGTAACGGATGACTTATACAAATGTAAACCAAAATCAGTTGTACTTGGGATTTATCAGAGGATGCGTTTCAACGCATTCATGTGTTCAACACGAGGGGAGTGCATAACCAAATACACTTGCTAAACTGCATAAGAAATATCCGGGCGAGTAAATGTCAAATATTTCAAAGCACCACAAAGACGGCGATATGAAGTAGGATCATCATACAGAGCACCAGAAAGTGTACTTAACTTCCCTTTGGAATCAACCGGAGTAGTGGACAGTTTGCAATTCGCCATGCCTGCTTTTTCAAGAATTCCGTGAGCATATTTCTTTTGAGACAAAAATAAACCATTTTTATCCCGGGAGATAGCAATACCCAAAAAAATAGCTCAATTGACCCAAATCCTTCATTGCAAATTCAGAGCTAAGCTTAGAAATGATATGACGGCGCAGAGACTCTGAAGAAGCAGTGAGCACAATATCATCAACATAGAGAAGAATGTAAGCAGTAGCATTACCATGGTGATAAATGAACAGAGAGTTATCGGACTTGCTATGAACAAATCCAATAGTAGCCAAGAAATCTGCAAAACGTTGATACCAAGCTCGAGGTGCCTATTTCAGACCATATAGAGACTTTCGGAGAAGGCAGACATGATCAGGTCGATGTGGATCCTTGAATCCCAATGGTTGATACATGTAAACAGTTGATACATGTAAGAAAGCATTCTTGACATCCAGTTGATGTATGGGCCATGGTTTGGATAAAGCAATGCTAAGAACCACTCGAATAGTAGCCAGTTTAACCACCGGACTAAAGGTCTCATCATAATCAATTCCTTCCCTTTGAGTCTTACCATCACCAACAAGACGAGCCTTATGTCTCTCAAAGGAGCCATCAGACTTCGTTTTATGCCGAAAGATCCATAATAAACGAATAATATTAACATTAGACGGGCGTGGAACTAAATCCCAAGTACCATTAGCAATGAGAGCATCATATTCTTCCTGCATACCAATTTTCCAATTATGGTCACGAAGGGCATGAACCGAGATCTTTGGAATAGAAGATATGGAGGTAGAAGTATGGTGAGCTTGATTATGATACTTTGGATTCGGCTTAATTATTCCATGTTGACTACGAGTAGTCATGGAATGAGATGGTGGTAGAGGAGGGGTTGGAACAGAGATAGGAGAAGAAGAGTGAATGAGAGGAGAAGGCGAGGGCACGCCTTGCTCAGCCACGCCTGCACCGGCGCTTGCCGGAAAACGAGCGGACTGGCAGTGGGATCAGGTGGCGAGACACCCTTCGTTCAAGCGCCTGCTGGTAACCCGACGAGGGTGGCCGTTAGTGGTGCGTGACCACGCTGCCAAGCGCTACTGGGAAAGACATCAATAGTATGTTGATCCGTGCGTGTAGAGGGGGGTATGCGCTTGTTGCGAGGGAGATATGGGAGGGGGCAGAGTACTCCGCAACATGCGTGCGGCTTGTGAGAAATCACCGCAACCATGTTGCGGACTAGACTGCTTAGTGGGGAGAGTCCGCTGCTGGTTCGAGGGAGAAAGAGGAGGGGGTAGGGCAGTCCGCAACATGCTTGCAGCGTGTGAGGGATCACCGCAACCATGTTGTGGACTAGGTTGGTCCGTAGATCTGGGAGGAGTAAGTGAGCTTAAAATTGGTGCCTCACCATGGGACGATCAAGAGGTGTTGAAAGATCATCTAGAAAATCGTATGTGTGAGGACTTGGTGTGTGGACTTTAGAAAAGGGAAAAACTGACTCATCAAACCACGCATGTTTAGCAATAATAATTTTCTGACTAGACATATCAAAGCATTTATAACCCCTATGGTTGGAAGGATACCCAAGAAACATACAAGGAGTGGACCGAGAGCTCAATTTGTGTATTTTAGAAGAAGGGAAAAGGGGGTAACACAAACAACCGAACACCCAAAGGTGAGAATAATCAGGATGCTTTTGATATAGAATTTGAGTTGGAGATTAATTGCCAAGAATTTTTGTCAGTAAGATGTTGTGAAGGTAAGTAGCCGTTTCTAAAGCATGATGCTAAAAAGACGGTGGCATAAAGGCATGACAAAGGAGCGTACGGACAAAGTCATTCCATTTGTGACACAAAATTTTTTAAAAGGATCATTATCAAACTCGCGGCCATTGTCATATTGAAAAGCTTTTATTTCTCATTCAAATTGAGTCCTAATATATGTTCAAACACGAATAAATAACTCATAGACTTGATATTTAGATATGACATGGGAAAAGTCCACAGAAAATTCGTGTAATTATCAAGGAAAAAAACATAATATTTATGACCAAGAGAACTAAGAATAGGAGAGGTCCATAAATCACTATGAATTATATCGAAAGGGATAGTAGTATGAGACATAGAATCGTAAAAAGGTGTTTTTATTAATTTCCCCAAGGGACATGAATGACAAACATGTTTTGAAACCTTATTACAATTTATGAGTTTGCTACTACATAGAGAACTAAGAAGGAGAAACAACTGAAAAAGCTGACAAAATGGAAGACTCATAGACTTAACGATCCGTGAAGAAAGGGTAGAGATCGCTGAAGGATTTATGTCTTCGTCAAGTACAATTATTAGATATATCAAGGATCAATATTATGGAGATAATAAGTTCATTCTTTGCGTCGTCATTGTCTATTGCTAGATATGATAAATGATCTTTGGGCTAGTAAAATAGTCCAAAACCCAATAGAATGGATCCTATGAGGTCACACACAAGGGTATTAGATTAAGCAAGTATAAAGCCCATTAATTGGCCTCATGAGGTAATGACAGGCCATGTAAGGAGTAAGGCTAGGAGTAGTTTGCATTGGGTAAGGAATTTGGGCTTCACATGGACTCTAATTATATATGTGATACATAAATAAAGGTCATTCCTAGGGTTGACATACAAGTCATAATTCACCCATATAGTGAATTGTGAAGCAAGCAACTAAAACACCCAAAACCCTCTCTCTCTCTCTCATGCACGCATCTCTCTCTCCCCTCCCCTGTCCGTACGGTACGGACACCGGCCCCCCTAGTGGCGCACGGTGGTGGTGGTTCGTGGTTAGTTTGTTCCTTTTCTCTCCGTAGAAGGTTGGTTGAAAGGGTTCAATCACGAATAACTAGCATTAGTGGAGGTTCAATTTGTGCCCGTGGACCAAGTAGAGGAATCACGTTTGGGGTTCTTGTTCTCCTATTGTTCTTGCTCGATCACACGTAAAATCACGCTTTAAAGGTATAATTATGTGTTCTTTATGTGTTATGCAATGATCTTGGTTATTAGATGCTTATGAATATGATTTATGCAATTCCGTTTATAGTATCTAAAGCCCTACAATTGCCATTGCTATTACATCTCACTAGTTTGCTCCCCGTCTGCAAGTCCTTCACAGAAAACCCAAAAGGATCAAACTCAATTGAAACATTATTTTCAATAGTGAATTTTCGAACAGAATTGAGATTTTTGATTAACTTTGGGACATGAAGAACATTTTTGAGTTGGAGTATGGTTGGGGTTAAAGATTTGTGACCATAACCAGAAATTGGAACTTTGCTACCATCACCAACTAGGGATGGCAATATTAAATGGATACCCGTTAACCCGATCCACCCGATTTAATTAAATGGACGAAAATATGCATTAAATGGATGAAAGGCGGGTGACGGATCGGGTCGGATTCGAGTGGGGCTCCGTTTCATCTGTCACCCGATCCGTCATCCGTTTATCACCCGAAATAATATAAAAAAAAATTGACATTGTAATATGTACTGTATTTCTGTCTTTTTTTAAATTATATATATATATATATATATATATATATATATATATATAATTTTTAAAAAAAAAAACCCTAGTTTTTGTAACCTAACCCCTAATGTTATTTGAGCGCCACATCTTAGTTTCTCAATTCCTCAAAAAAAAACAGAATGCTCTCACTGTCGTTCTCACTCTCCTCTCAGTTTCTCAGCCTCACTGGCACTCCAAAAGACCGGCAGCGCGATCTCCTCACCTGCGGGCTGCGATACTCCGGCGGTTACTCTCACCGGCGGTAGCGCGACAAACCTCACACACCTCCTTAATCTATTCTTCTAGTTTATTTGTAATTTCTAATCATCTAATAACTCCTACTGAAATTTCTGATTTTTATTAAAAAAAAAAAAATTACTAGATTTCTGATTTTTTTTAAAAAAAAATTAAAAAATTACTCCGTATTAGAAATTTAATAATCACCCTATAAGATTCCGATCCACCAGTTTCACCCATGGATGACGGGTGGATCGGATGCGGGTGATGGGTTTTGCGGGTGACGGGTGGATCGGGGGAAGCGGATGGAGTGAGCGGGTGGATGCGGATGAAGCTCCATACGAACCGAATCCGATCCGTTGCCATTCTTATCACCAACAACAATCGCATTTTGACCATTTTTGCGTAAATGAGAATAGGATGATAAATTACCTTGGGAATTAGTCATATGTGAAGTAGCACCGTGCCCATGTAGAAATTAGGGTCAAACAGAGACATAGCGTGCATTGCTTGGTCGGTGTTAGTCGGCACATACCCCGAAGCAGAAGGAGTACCGGACATAAAATAACCTTGCTAAGGACGAGGCCCAAGAACACCGGCCTGAGGTGTTGACTAATGTGACCTGGGTGACCAAAAATTTGGGCCTCGGCCCTGACTTGGGTACGAACAGGGTGGGGTTGCCCAAGGGGCTTGATTCCAGTAGCCCCAATTAGGCGCAGGGAACATCGTACCCTGGGGAAGCTATTGTTGTTGTGCCGCACCACCCTACTGCTGGTTGTTCCAGCCACCATTCCCGGCGACGGATTTATTTTTCCCTCCACCCCCTTTGTTCTTGTTGTTCTTGCGACCACCAGAACGTGTATTTGCACCATGATAATAAGTAGAATTGGGAACGTTCTCCCCGATCTGGTTGTGAACAACAGAAGAGGAGTGAGAAACGTGAGCCTCCGCAAGAGACTCAGCTACAACATTAGCTGTGTTGCCTTGCTCCTTTAGTTCAAGCATCGATCGCAAAGTATCAAAAGAAGGCAGAGGATTTAGATGTCGTACAGAAGTCCGAAAAGGCTTATATTCCTCCGAAAGCCCTTTGAATAATTGAAGCACCATCCTATTGTCCAAGAATACAATATGGTGGCCGAAAATACAATATGGTGGCCGAAAATTTGATCTTTCTTAAGCTCATATTTTCGGACCTCCCTTTAAATATTTAGGAAATTATTTTTCTAGTTTTTAAGGAAAAAATGATTGTGTAAATAATATATATTGTTCATAAAAATAATTAATTAAAAAAATACCAATTATTCACTAATTAATTTAACTAAGAAAATCAAATTTTCTACACTTAGAAAATCCGAAAATTCTAGCTAATTAATTAGGGAAATTCAACCCTTTTAAATTAAATATAATTTTGCTTAATATCCGAAATATATATTAATAATTCGATTTTTAAAATAAAATAAATGGATAATTCAAAATCCAAAAATAATTAAGTTTTAAAATATTTTTGGCAACAAAATTCAAATATCATTTTGGCTCCAAAATTCAAATAGTAAAATAAATTACTAAAATACCCTTTTAGAAAATAATAATTAATTAATTAATTAGAAAATACATTTCAAAAATATGGGGTATTACAGTCTACCACCCTTAAAAGAAGTTTCGTCCTAAAACTTAGCCAAAATAAAAAGAAATCGATTTAAAATTCTTAGACTCATGCACATCCTAACCAGGCTCAAGATCATAACTAACTCAAGAAAGACTCAAAATTACTCAAAAATGATTCGAAAGGCAAACGCGCGAAACTATATCGCCCTCTATCCCCCTTAAAGGAGTTACATCCCCGTAACTCGACCAACACATTAACTCATTAAATCAACTATATCAACACTTTATCAACAATCATCAATGAAAGTAAGAAAAACCATCACGTTTCAAACAGTCAAAAGAGCTTAGGTTTTAAAATAATTTGTTTACAAAAGTAGTGAGAAAACTCATAAAATATTTTTATGAGTCATTCGAAAAATTTAAAATACTTTCATTAGGAGAATTGTTGATAACACTAAAATCAAAATATTTAATAAAAGATTTTAAAAGATCTACGTTAGTTTTCAATCTAAACAATTATTTAAAAACAAGGAATACAAAACTTTATTTTGAAAACTATATATTTGAAAATTCATTTTGCGTACTTGTAAAATACTTGTTTTAATAAAAGTCTTACTTTTTCATAAAGAAACTCTATAATTACAATAATCACATATTCAACTTTATAGCAAACACTGTCATAGGTACCGAGCATAAAAGGACACATCTTATCTTGACCTTCTTATCGCTCATAGATTAGTAACTTGTCTCAGGGTATCTTCCAAAAGTATTTACAATTTCATGAATCCTGGTAATACAACCTTAAAACGTAATCATTAACTCTTGGTCACTTCAAATAACATATATAATACTTCGCCTTTAAAACATTAAAAAACTCGATAATCTTTTCTCATAACTTCAAATTCCTCAATCTGGTTGTAATAATCCATAATTCATTACATAACTCAATTGATTCTTCCATCATTAATAACTTCACTATATCAATTAACTTCGTTGTCAATCTCTTAGAGTAAAATCTTTTAAGTAACCATGCATGCATCCAAATAATCATTCCTTAACTAACTTTGATAAATCCCTTCACAAGGTATTATTTCTTCAAAATAACTTCAAATTAAAACAAATTCTTTTATCTCAAATACTATCTCTTATACTTCCTTTCACTTCAATTGCCTCAAAACCCTCTAACTTTTGTATTAAGTTTCTTCAAAGATTCAATCATCAACAATTTTTGCTTAAATTAATCATCACAATACTCATTCTCGCAATATGAATACTTTCCACCTTTAGATACAAACGATCATAAATTAATGCTAATATCAAAATTCATATCTCCCAAAAATACATACCTTATTCCAACACTTATGTAGAACGTTAAACTCATCATTACCACAAATAATATTTCCATGCTCAACATAAATCATATTCCAAAAATTAGTAAAGACTTGATATTACCAGTCCTCCAAATATTCATGATAACAATCCAAAATAACTCCTTATTTACTCTATGGTAATCATCAAATCCCTTAAACTCAAAATAACAAACTCAACCATATTGACCACATGTAAACTTCGTATATATGATTCAAATACTTGCCACATATCACATAGTTAATTATACCAAATAAGGTCAAAGAAATTAATCAATATTCACACTTAAATGGATAAACCAATACAACCACTTATTGAAATTCACAACAAACACAATCATTCCAAAATGCGATTTTAATGAAAGAAATATTTCACATAAAATCTATTTCCATATAAGGAAATTATTTACCAATTTCAACATTAGGAACACTCATTAAATAATTCTCATTCCACCAATAATCTTGGAATTTTATTCATAAATTTCGTCATATAAACCAGGTAAATAACATATATACACACAATTCCATGATTTGCACATGAAAATAATTAATTCCAACTTCCACTTGATATAATCAAATATGTATCTTTCCACCTTGGAATTAAAATTCTGTAAAACTTCAACATGCACTCAGAATTCGAATAATTATGTTTCTCATGAAAACTTCACATGAATCTTGAAGATTCAAATGCTATTATAATTCAACTTTTATTAATAAGAAACGCATAGAAGGATTCAAAAAGCTTGAACCAATTAATATTCTAACAACATGGAGAACATATCAAATCATTTAGAGCTTTCACGTTCACAATTATTCATTACGAAAACACGCCCCTTAGGAACATTCTCTCCATTGCTACTGGTTCCAACTTGTGGTCCACTGAAATGAGATGGCTTGAATGGGTTTTTACTCTCCTGAACTTTCCCTGCCTTGACAACAGATTCCTTCTTGAAGCACTCATATTCACGGTGTCCTAGCTTTTGACAATAATGACAAGTCACTGGGTTACCTTCACAATCTTTCCCAGGGTAGTTCTTCTCACACCTTCTACAAAAATACAATCTCTTGGGTTTCTCACTGTTTCCTTGATCCCTATTTCCTCGAACATTGGTTTCTTGTTCATCATATCCCTTCCCAAAGTTCCCTTTATTCTCCTTTCTTCCATTAAAACCTCCATTCCCCTGAGAATTCCCATTTGGCTTGAGTTTCTTTTCACCTCCTTGAACAGACTCAGATTTCTTTCTTTCCTCTCCTTCAAAACTCTTAATTTCCCTTCCCTTACTCCCGTACAAATGGGCAGCACGGCCATAAACTTCATCCAAGGTTTCAAAAGTCACTCCCCCTAGCTTCCCTTGAAAGGTTAAGATTAGCCCTTACTCGAACCTCTGGGATATGACAGTTTCAGTTGGGACAACTTCAAGTGCAAACCTCATTAGCTTAATGAATTTATTATAATACTCACTGATAGACATACTTCCCATCCTGAGATTGGTAAACTCCATACACTTTTTCTTTCTTAGGTAGGCTGGGTAAAACTTATCTCTCAAGGCTTCGTTGAACTCATCCCACCCAAAGTTAGGTCTCTTCAACAACTCATCCTTCCTTTGGGTCCACCACAAGTCAGCTTCCTCCCTTAGATAATAAGCACCATTATTCACCCTCAACTCATTTGGGCAATTGATGGCATCAAACAGCTTGTCAAACTCCTTAATCTAGTTTTCAAGACTGGTTGGGTCCTCCTTTACCAAATACACACAGGTGGTCCGAGTCAGAATGACGGTTTCCATGGTTCACCACTTGCATGATGTTTTCAGCTATCTTGGTTAACTTCCTAAGGACCTTGCCTATTTTGGAACTAGATCGCTTATTTCCTACTCTAAAGACGTGATTTCTGGTTATTCATTCCATTCTTGAAAATTAAAAGAAATACACCATGCAAACACTTAATTCATTCCAAAACATAGAATAAAAATTTGAAACAATAATAACTTCACTTAAGACATTATTGAAAGCATACAAACTACTTCAACCACTTAATCAGAATTCTCAGAATCAAAATATTCATTGGAAGGATCATAATTAAGATCATCATAGTTTGCCTTACCATTCACTCGATAAGCTTCAATAACTGGGCCAAGTGTAGTAGGATTTTTAGTTGGGTAACTGGGTTGTAATCACTGTAATTTAGGGTATGGCTTGAGCTTTGAATTGTGCTATAATGTGGGCTAGCAAATCCACAAATTGGCTTAGAAGAAATAACGTTAGACCTTTGGAGAAGGTGGATGATACGTTAGGCTTGGTAATCTTTTATATGAAGCATCATGAACTTTGGGCCTTTTGCAATGTGAAAGTTGGCTATTGGGCTTGGACGCCTACATGAGGTAGGAGTCTCATAACTTGGAGTAGGAGAAGGAGAAGGAGAAGGATAATTCTTATGTCTTTCAAAAGGTGGTATGGATTCATCAATGGAAAAAACAAACTCCTTGTAAAGTCTTGGATAAACAAAAGGGTAGTTGGGAGTTCAAGTAATGAAGTTGGTAAGGTTATTTCAAGGTTTGGTTCTCCCCAACTTTGGTGGTTCCACAACTCTCCTCCTTGGTTCATAGTTAATTTTAAGGTAGTACAAATCACTTTTGAATCGAGTCAAGGTTTCTAGCCACTTTCCCTCATGATGGTGCTTCTCATTCTCAAAGAAAGATTCATACTTTTTAACTTTAGGCCAGGTAAATGGGCCAGAGATAATAGAACTAGCCATGGTGGTTGAGTGAACACTTCAAGGTTAAACTTCTCATAAAGAGACTGAACGAAGATAGTTATTCTAGTCACAAATTCATTAATACATACTAATCCCTTCACCTTTCAAGTAATAAATATTAAAAAAAATTCTTTCCGATTTAATCCAACATCTATATAAATAAATCACTTCAATAAACACATGAATACTATTTGACATGAGAAATTCAAATCAAAACTCAATGAATTTCATTTGCATGATGCAATACGTGTTAATCAACAAGTATAACTTAAGATGACTCAACTATGAGCATCAAGACACCAAAATTTCAAACCTCTTATCACCTTTAAAATAATATAAACCAAAGAATTTATTCCTCATATCATCAATCATTTTTATCT